AATTATAACAAATAATTGATTATATTAATAGTTATAAATAGTTATTATAGTCTCAATTCCTATACTTATAAACTGTTTAGTTTTTCAATTTTCACTTGTGGTTTAGTTTACTTTTTGTTGGTACTTTACTTTGCTGTACACTTTATCTTATTTACAATTTTGTCTTATCAATGGCTCGAAGAAGATAAGTTATATCAAATCTCCACCCCTTACGATAATAAGACATCCGATACATATTTCATTATTCATAGTAGTTGAAGAAAAGTCAAGTATTTAAAAAGTTAAAGGTTTTTTATAATGTTGGATTTATAAATAAACTTATTTCTATATTTACATACAAATTTCCCGAACACAAAAATATAGTACATATCAAGAAGAAAAGTTTTTGTCTACTACGTAAGTAGTTATGTCACTTATCATATATAATTTTATTCAAATATTTTGATTTTTAAATATGTGAAATATAACTGTTAAAAACGTATGATCGAATTCTATCTATAGACTAGGTTTTCTTTTGTCTTTTGTAAAATTCTTCAACTGTAAAAAAGAGTATTTATATCTCGATTTTCTTTTAGATTAAAACATGAAGATCAATTCTTTGAACGTAGTCAATTTATTATTAGCATATTTTCAAAGTTTACAAATACCAGATAGCGAGATTAATTTTAAAGAAATTAAATTGTCAGAAAAGTTGAAAGAAATATTAATAGATGCTGTTACGTGACGCTTCATTGTGTTATAATTGTATTTTGTCGAATAATATTTCGCTCTCGAGATTTCCGTTTGGACATAGTATAGCTAGCAGTATTCGTGTGCGCGACTCGGTAAGAATGAGCGGCAGAGGCTGATTCACGCTGCGGCAGCATGCTGCGACAGCATGCTTCGGTCAGCGTGCTTAGCTAGGTAAGACGAGCCGATACGAGAAGCGTAAACGTCTAAAGCATATGCGCGAGAGAGAGACGGATGCAAGGGACAAAGGATATATAATAAACCGGCGAAAACAACGATGTTAGAATTAGTCAGTCAGAGCTGAGCGCTAGAGCTACTAGGCCGCAGTACTGAATTTATTTCACCGTTTGAAGTATATTCAATTTGATTCGTTCGTGCAGTATTATTCTGAAATAATATTCGGAGTAATCATAATTGCAGTAAACTAAAATTTAATTGGAAAGCTTAAATCAGTACACGTCTGCAGAGATATAGTAATAATAAAAGTCCAGGAAACAAAGTCGTTATTCTTGTGCACGCTATCTGAAAGTACGGGATATTTAATTATAGTATATATAGATATATACAAATAACGGACCATACGATTTAATTTGAAATAGACAGGAGAGAACACCGATAAATAGAACCGTATATACAGGGTGGCCCATTTTAAGTGATCCACTCAGATATCTAGATTGGAGTGAGTTTTATCGAAAAAAGTTTCAGACAAAAGTTACTCAACTTTGAGGGGGCCATGTTTCTATGACCTTGGATTTGACCTTGGAGGTCATGTTCAAGGTCATTTCAAGGTCAACTTTGTTTTTTTAAATAGTAACCCCCATTTTTGACCCCGGATTCGGAAAGAGCGGGAAATTTTACGTCCAAAACGGTATTTTAAAATTTTTTTTCATGGCCTAGAGAAGGTCGATTTAAGGTCAAATGCTTGAAAAACTGCATAAAAGCGTTTTTTTAATTTTTAAGATATCGAAAAATGACCTCTACAAAATTTGTTCAGAACAGAGTGGGCCACCCAATGCACCAAAAACCTTTGACCTTTAACCTCATTTTGAAGGTCATTTCAAGGTCGAAGTGTTTTTTGTAATGGAAATCCCTCTTTTTAACCCCGGATACGCACATAGCGCGAAATCCGACGTTTGGATAAGGTATTGTGTTGAGTTTCGCGCTATGTGCGAATCCGGGGTCAAAAAGAGGGGTTTCCATTACAAAAAACACTTCGACCTTGAAATGACCTTCAAAATGAGGTTAAAGGTCAAAGGTTTTTGGTGCATTGGGTGGCCCACTCTATTCTGAACAAATTTTGTAGAGGTCATTTTTCGATATCTTAAAAATTAAAAAAACGCTTTTAGGCAGTTTTTCAAGCATTTGACCTTAAATCGACCTTCTCTAGGCCATGAAAAAAAATTTAAAAATACCGTTTTGGACGTAAAATTTCCCGCTCTTTCCGAATCCGGGGTCAAAAATGGGGGTTCCTATTTAAAAAAACAAAGTTGACCTTGAAATGACCTTGAACATGACCTCCAAGGTCAAATCCAAGGTCATAGAAACATGGCCCCCTCAAAGTTGAGTAACTTTCATCTGAAACTTTTTTCGATAAAACTCACTCCAATCTAGATATCTGAGTGGATCACTTAAAATGGGCCACCCTGTATATACATATATGACCGATTGTCAATAACCTTATTTAAAAAAAATAAGTAAGTACCATATTGTTCATACATAATAGACAACGCGAAGCGAAGAACACGCGTCTATATATAGCTCTAATCATTTTATTATCTCCGCTTTATCATTTATTCATGTACTTAATGTTTATAAAATAAATCTAACAAGTACTATTAAACGCCCCTTGAGTGTATCCATATGCTTCCCCGTTATTGCTTATTATACGTATATATAACCGAGTACGGATAAATAAATACGATTACGTCCGAACGAATATCTCACGATCGCGATATCGGGAGCCCGGATTCGAATTTACAAAGACTTCGTTATCGACGCGGGAACGGGACGGGGTGCCCGAGAGCCTGATTGCCGCCCGAGTCAAAGGCCGCTCGGCTGTTAAAAAGGCCTACTCACGGGTCAAGTTCGGCTCGCGCGAACTGTCACCTATCAGATGCCGTGTATGAGTTTAATGATATTAATATAATTGTTGAAGAGACGTTAGATTTTCATGAAGATTATAAAGATACTGATGCTGAAATAATCGTAGATGAAGTTCAACATCACTTTCCTGATCCTGATTTTGCACCAACAAATCAGTGCGCAAATGATGATGAACAAATCACATTTGATTATATACAAAGAGCCGTAGAATTTTGGAGGAGCGGAAAAAACAAAAACTTAAAACTGGATACTGTACAACATGGATTCAAAAAAGTTTCATCTATAAGTCAACTTAAACGTTGGGCGAAAACAATTAATAAAAATGGAACTTACCGAGAAATAATTGCGCAAATTTGCCAATACACGTTTGATAATTTAAAAGTCGCTAGCAGCTGGTATGATAGTGCACGATCGAGATATAAATGTATATTTTTATTTGTCACAAATTATGTTTGAGCTACAGATATATTTTATCAAAAAAAAATGGGATACCCCACGTACGGCATAGAAATTAATCAGGGTGGTTTATGGGGGTTTGGTGGGTTAGAGGCAGGTTGGTTAGTTGAAGTAACTCGCTCAGGCGTAGGATTAAATTATTTCAAGAAATAACAAACGACTAAAGTTGCTTTTTACAGGATTAGTTGGGTTAGCCTGCATGTGGTTCGGTAAGGGTGGTTTATGGGAGTTTGGTGGGTTAGAGACAGGTTGGTTAGTTGAGGTAACTCGCTCATGCATAGGATTAAATTATTTCAAGAAATAACAAACGACTAAACTTGTTTCCCTATCCCTAGGTTTAGGAATAGGGTTAGGTGGATTAACCTGCTAATAGTTTGACGGGGGTGGTTTCTAGGGGGGTGAAACACCCCTTAAACATTTTTTTTTTTAATTCGGAAACACGTCAATTTAATTTTGGTATTTTCTCATTATCAGTGCGATTTTTAAATCAGTCGAGCTAATTTACTATATAAAATGTCGTAAAACAGTACAAAAAATAGTATATTTACCCCTATTAAAAAGGAGGTTGCAACCCTTCGGTATAAATGTTATGTCCTTAAAAAGGCCTTTTTATAAGAAACTTTTTAACGTTGAGTTTACTGAAAAATATTCATTTGATGCTGAGAAATATTAAAAAAACTGATTTTAGGGATTGATTTTCAAAGTAGATTTCACCCCTTAAAAGCCCTGATTAGGCCGATAAAAAAAAACACGTATCTAATTTTTTTTCAAGTACTACAACATATCCCAAAATCATTCAAATCGGTGAGGTCGGGTTGGGGTGATTCCCTTGTAGGTTTATTTGAAAAGTACATACGAGAGTCGTTTGAAAAATCCGTGCAAAAATAAAAACTGCTTGATTTTTTTTAATAAATCTTTTTTATTTTTCAACATAGTCTCCTTTTAGGCTTATACACTTCATCCAACGCTGCTCTAGTTTGTTAATCCCTTCCAAATAATAGGATTTGTCCAACTCTGAAAATAGGCATTCGTTTCTGCAATCACCTCTTCGTTTGAATAAAATCTTTTTCCCGCCAGCCATTTTCTCATATTAGGGAACAAATAGTAGTCCGACGGAGCCAAGTCTGGAGAATAGGGGGGATGTGAAACGAGTTGGAACCCTATCTCCATCTGTTTTGCGGCTACAACTGCTGAGGTGTGAGCTGGCGCGTTGTCGTGGTGGAAGAGGACTTTTTTGTGGGCCAATCGTGGACGTTTCTCTAGCAACTCGGTTTTCAAACGATCCAATAACGATGAATAATGACGATCCAATAAACGATGAATTTGTGCTCATATGTGCTCATTGTGCTCATATAAAACGCAAAGTAATTGGCCGATCTGGCTGAAAATTGGTGTGTGCTCTTCCAAGATATGCCACTAACTAAAAATAACCTTGATACGCACTAGTAGCGCCATCTCTCTGACTTTGCACGGACTTTTCAAACGACCCTCGTATATCACAAATGTTATTGCAGAAGTTTATTAACATAGCTATATTGGTTTTTATAATATAAATTGATTTGTAAAAATTATAAATTTCGATAACAATAATCTATGTAAATAGGTATATCGAGTTAAAGTTGCTTTGATAAAATTTAATATAACGTCATTTACATTATAGTTTTATTAGATGTAACCATTGAATCAACTTATATACTCATATTTTTTTACAGGGAAAAAATTCTTCGCTGTTACTTTTATAGGATCTATTTTTTGGATTGCTGCTTATTCGTATTTTATGGTGTGGTGGGCTAATGTTGCTGGTGATACAGTCAGGATTCCCCCTGAAGTTATGGGACTCACATTTCTTGCTGCAGGAACTAGCATACCTGATCTTATAACCAGTGTTATTGTTGCAAGAAAAGGTTTCGGAGATATGGCTATATCTAGTTCTGTTGGTAGTAATATTTTTGATGTTACAGTGGGGTGAGTAGATTGAAATCAATATAATTTTTTACTCTTATCTATTTTCAATTTACACATGTTTTTAACTATATATATATATATATATATATATATATATATTGCAACGGTAGTCGATTGAATTAATCGAACCGTTCGCGATTCTGATTTTCGCGCGTTAGTTCTAAGTATTGAGAGAGAGAGGGGGCGCGCGATCTTTTGAATTAGCAGTTAAGCCTCAGCTGTTACTTGTGTAGTACCGCCAAAATAGTTTAGCACAGTGTTTCACCGATTTACCATTAAAAAATTTACTTGGATTTTGGATACGTGTGCAAGGGTGAGTGAGGAAGCAGCGACAGTAGCAGCATCACGGAAGTAGCAGCAAAAGCAACAGCTATTATACAGCAGATTTGCGATTGAGACAGCACAGCTGATTCTGATCTGAGGAGCACCTTTAATTTGCTTCAACAATTACGGCAGATCACCGTAATTGCACCGCAGGGTAGGTGCACCTCCCTTAATTATCGCGTGACAAAATACATTTGGTATTTTGTCCAACTGTGTTAGCGTTAATTTTTTGTATTCGCGTCGAGCGTTAGATCGCGCCAATATTCGTATCTTCTCTCTCTCTCTTTCTCACCGAAAGTTATTTAATTGTAAATCCTATTCGCGTGCGTCAGTCTTTCGGCCCGACAAAGACTGTAGAGATTTTTTATTAATAAAATCTATTAAACTTATTCGCCGATTTCGTCATATAATTTTTCCTAATAGTTTAAACAATTAAAAAAGGCTTAGGTTTTAATCCGATTACAGCTAGGGGATTAAGTGGATTAGGAGCAAAGTCGATTACACTTAAAACTCATCGAGTATCACAAGGCACGTGACTTAAGGTGAGTTCAACTCTGTTTGATCGAAGACAATTAAGTTAAGTCAGCTGACGTTAAGGCGAATACACGTATTAACATACGTGTTGTTACGTGACACTTCATTGGATTATAATTGTATTTTGCTTAATAATATTTCGGACCCGAGATTTCCGTTCGGACATAGTATAGCTGACGCTACTCATGTGCGCGACTTGGTGGGAATGTGCGGCGGAGGCTGATTCACGCTGAGCCGGCATGCTGGGACTGCACGCTGCAGCCCGCGTGCTTAGCTAGGTAAGACGACCCGCCACGAGAAGCGAAAACATCCGAAGCGTATACGCTTCGGAGAGAGACGGCATGGTAAGGACAAAGGCTATATAATAAACCAGCAAAGGCAGAGCAGGCGGAATCAGTTAGTTAGAAGCGAGCGCTCAATTAAGAAGGCCGCATATTTTTCTACGGAAATTAAAACTGTAATAGAAGTCTGAGTGTATTAGAAGTATCAAGCACGATTGTTTTAATAATTTTGTATAAATAGAAAATCACGGGAATCATTATTTTCCTGCGTGTTGTTACATTGTCGGATCAAGAGGATACTAGAGAAATACAGTTATAGCGACTATCATTGTCCTGCACATTACTACACCATAGTAAAAACTCATTGGACCGATTGAATTTGACCAGATAAAACGGAAAGGTGATTGGCCATATCACAAACCAAATAATAACTTGGACCAAATTGCATTGATTGTACTAATATATAGTAAGTAATACTATTATAATTTTATGTAACGGGAAAAATCCTAGACAGCGCGAGACAAAAATTACGCGTCTGCGAATTTATATGCTACTACTATTTTGTTCAACCTACTTATGTTGCGAAAGAAATTAGAATAAATATTATGATTGTAAAACAAGTTTAAGTGTATTCATATGCTTCCCCGCTATATCGGAGAGAATAGCCATTACGAATTTGCTTAAAACAAATAACCAAAAAACGTTATAAACGTTTAATTATTTGTTTTACAAGAACGATATTGAGTGTCAACTTATAATTAACGTAAATTTATTATTGAAACGCGAACGGGTCGGGGTGCCCGAAAGCCTGACTACCGCCCGAGTCCAAGGCCGCTCGGCTGTTAAAAGAGCCTTCCAACGGGACAAACTCGCCTCGCGCGAGTTGTCACCTATTAATTGGTAGCAGAGCGTGGTTTTAGCGGGCTTAGATTTTTCGCTTTTCCCTCGCGTTGACACATTTTTGATAGTTTATTAAATTACTATATAAATTTGTGTATTGGGTAGCATGAGTATTAATGTAATTAGAATATATCTATTATAGTTTATTAGAATATATTCATTAGTGTGCGATATATATAATTATGTAATACTATATGTATTGCATAGTGTTGGTATATTGACGCGTATTAATTTATATTAATTCATATTGATTAATCCGTCGTCTTTTTCATCGTTAGTAATATTAAAATTTTTTTTTCTCTCCTCTCTTTCCTCTCTCTCATATCTTGAAACGCGATACGGGCAACAGGACGCTCGTTTTTGAGCGAGCTAAAGCCACGCCGCTGACGCGAGAAAACTTCTTTTCCTCTCTCACACGCAATTCGTCGGAGTTTCGTTTTAATCGTGTAAGCGTAATCAGAGCGTTCGCGTCTGAAACCGGGCGAGTCTCCTTTCGTTTTTTCCGTTCCCACATTTCGTGACTAGTTGGCAGAATGGCATTAGCAACGTGATCCTTCGCTTAGAAATGTTTGAAAGTGAAAACGCGGCTTAGAAAATATCCTTGATTTATGGACGGTCGTTTATGATTTTGACATGCGGGTCAGCGAAATATTTTATTTCTTTTTTTCTCTGCTGTAATAGGGGACTGACCCTTGGCATTGTCCCGTGCCGTTCGCTTATTGAAATTTCCCTTAATTATTTTACGATTACCTTTGCTACTAAAGGTATTTATTGCCATAGGAATGGTATATTTATTGGGAGTAATGCTTTATTGACGTGATTTGGTTGACGACTGATGGAGTGGTGTAAATTGGTTATTGGAGTGGAAACTTATAGATCTATATAACGGGTTGTTGGTGATCGAGGACAATAAATGTTATTTTGTTAATGATTATTGTTCGAATGAATCATTGACTGCTAATTATAATTAATCAGTAATTATAATTGGTATTTTGTTAATGCAATGATTATTTGAATAAATTATAACCGTTGTATTATCAGCCTTATCCGTTTATTATTGATTAAATAATAAAATAAATAAAATAAATAAAAAAAAAAGGAAGAAAAATATAGGACCTAGGACCTAGACCATAACGAAATGGAGTCGGCGACCCTCCAGCTATTAACTAATATGTCAGCAAGTTTTACCCTACAGAATATAATACAAGGGATTACGGAGTTCGATGGAAAAAATGTGCCCCTTAAGGACTTTATCCAGGATATCCGCAATGGAAGAGCGTTGATTACTGATCCGTAGGAACAGAATTTTGTCCGCTTGTTAATTGCTAAGCTACGAGGACCTGCGCGTGACTGCATTTATGGAAAATCCATTAAGGCAGTTGATGACTTAATCAGGATTCTAAAGGAACGATTCGCGCCTTGCAAGGACTTCGCTTACTACGACTCCAAAATCCATAGCCTGCGTATGAAACAAGGGGACACTGTTGGGGACTTTCATGACAGGATAAACATCCTTTTGAATTGTGCACAGAATGCCTTGAAAGAAGAGCTCGGAGGGGACTACACCGAGACAATGATGACCCCGATGCGCAATTCGACTGTCAAGATTTTCATAGATGGATTGCCAAAGGAGATTGGGGACTTAGTAGATATTAAACAGCCCAGAACCCTGGAAGATGCCTATAAGGAAGCACTACGCATAGAAACCAGAAATAAATCAAGAGCGAGGAATGGGGAGTGGAACCCTAATAAATGGACGAATTTATTGCGCAGCCTCAATGTTAACTATGTTCAAGATCAACAAAACGACCAAGAGGAACAGCTAGAGGATGAGTGGGACGAATTACCCGCTGAAATCCAACAATTATTTGTACAAAGGAATCAAGGACAGCAACCATACGCGAATAATCAAGGACAGCAACAGAGTCGATCCCAAGGGCAGAGACCGAATCAAAATAGGAATTGGAAGCCTCGCTACAAAAATTATCAGGACAGTGGACCACACGCAGGACGGCTATATAACCCGGATACAGACTCTTATCATCATCCGTCTGGAAAACGCTATGGAACGATAGCTTACGACCAGCAGCAAAGAGGCGAGCTTAGACCTAACCCAAAGTATCAGCAACCCAATTCTGCTAGTAATTTAAACTCAGATGGGGCTCGCCCAGTGGTGAATGGAACGGGCCCTTGTCAGACGTGCCGTCAGAACCAAGAAAAAGCTCAACCGAATGCGAAGACGATGTTGACCGAAGTTCAGGAAGTGTCGACGTCCGAAAAACCGGGAGTACCCCCGGCAAAAGTAATGACGATACTAAAGAATCCGCAATCGTTAACGAACCAGTCATCGCAGTTGCCTCAAATTGGGGACTTGGCACAGGAAATAATCAGATCTATGCGCCAACCAGAGTAAGGTTTCGTATACCGGAGACCTGTAAAAAGTGGACCGTGTTCATGGTTGACAATGGATCGGCCGTGAATTTGATTAAGTTTAGTGCATTAAATTGGAGCACGAGGTTTGACCCAAGGGAAGTCACTACCTTGAGCAGTATTACGGCACACACCGTCCCGACCATAGGTACGGCAATATTAACGATTAATGGAAATAACCGCAAAATTCCACATAGTATGGAATAATTTTCCTATTGAAGAAGACGGGATGTTAGGCAGAGATTACCTGATCGATACCGATGCAGTGATTTCGTATTATCATAACAGCCTAATGGTAAACAGTGACGTAATGAACCCGATATCGTTTTTACCGAATGACGTTCCCATTGACCGATTACAAGATGATCTGATACAAGCTATGAATATTAAAACTCGTGAAGATGAGGTATCGGATATTGAAACTGCAGCGGACCTAGATCGGGGAATAGAACGGCTGGGTTGTAAAGAGAACGCGAATAATAACATTATAAATGGCAATGAGGGACTGCCGGACGGCACGGTACGATATAC